AAATATATATATACAGAGTGGTGAGTACCTCACAATGCTGCCACAGTAGAGTTAGACAGTGTGATTCACCCACATACATTCATCAGGTATGAAAAGAGAGTTCCAACTCAATCTATTCAAAACAGAACAGTCCAGATACCAAGAATGCTACTGGTTATACCGAGCTGGTTTGATAACTGTTCGACCAGACCGTGTAAACGACTGGTGTTGACCATTTCTGGACGGTGCAGCGGGCTCTGTGCCGCATTCTCTGCGATGCTGCTGCGGTTTCTGCTGTTGTTGCTGCTGCTGTCGCTGTTGCTGCTGCGTCTCTTGCTGCTGCTGTAGCTGTTGCGGTTGCTCTTGTTGTTGCTGCTGTTGTTGTTGCTGCTGCTCTTGCTGCTGTTGTTGTTGTTGCTGCTCTTGCTGCTGTTGTTGTTGTTGCTGCTCTTGCTGCTGTTGTTGTTGCTGCTGCTCTTGCTGCTGCTGTTGTTGCTGTTGCAAAGCTAACTCTGGCAAGCTCTGTGTAGCCTGTTGGTCAACTGTTGCATCTTGCGGAGACTCAGGCTTACGGGTATTGGTCGGCTGCGGGACCATGTCGTGACGCGATGGTTGTGTAGGATGCACAGCCGGACCCGTTCGTTCTGCAAACTGAGTCAGTGGAACTGAACGTGGACGTAACTGATTCCGGTGACGTTTCCAGACAACGTCATCAATCTGTACAGTATAATTCATAGGACTGCACAAAGAAAGTACCACACCAGGTATCCAATTAGGATCAGACTTTCGGAAACTCCAGACAAACACTGCATCGCCCGGTTTGTACTCCGGTGTGAGGTGCATAGAGAAATTATGCAAACATCTTCGTCGCCATTTGTTGTGTCCTGATCCCCATGCACACAAGCATCCAGCTCGCACAAGTAGATTGGGGAAAAAGCCTTGAACAAGAGCATGCGCAGTGTGATCATGCTAGATCATGCTAGTGCTACAGAAGTAGGTATATTACTACTATGTACAGTACACATGAGTACATATATAACAACCAAAGAGTGGTATATTTGATAACATTTAATAACGATAGAAATTTTTACGATACTTCTCCAGACGTTTCGTTGTTCTGAACAACATCGTCAGTGGATAAAGAAAGGTAATGAACAGAACAGATGTCAGTTTCTTTATCCACTGACGATGTTGTTCAGAACAACGAAACGTCTGGAGAAGTATCGTAAAAATTTCTATCGTTATTAAATGTTATCAAATATACCACTCTTTGGTCTAGAAAGAATACTTTTTGATATTTGATTTTAGGGTATACTTCCCCTTCAAGTCAACAACAACAAACATAATTAACAAAAAACCTGGGTGTCAGACAGCACCAACGAAGAAAACACGACAGCTTTTACGGGTGGTTGGGGGGGGGGGGAGTAGGGGCTCCAGGGTGGAGCCTGTACAGTTGAGGCACGCTAGCAGCAAAACTGACATCTGTTCTGTTCATTACCATGGTTACTGGCAGCATGCACAGCATAGACTATACCAAGAGTACATGAAAACCAGAGTGTGCAACTCGGATGGGTTGCTGTCACGGCGAAATTCCGTGATTACATCATTTTAGTGATGTAGTGCGTACAAGCAGGATTCAAGTATGGTCTCTTTCTGCACAACTGCAGCTCAGTTGTACGCACTATGCCATTTCCCGCCTCAGATCTGCACCAACTATGATGTAATCACGGAATTCTGCCGTGACAGACACCCATAGCAGAGAAGGCCCCAAGCTGCACACTCTGGTTTTCATGTACTCTTGCTTGTACCAACATGCATGAGTACATAACCCCCATCTATGTGCTCTCGCATGCATGTAACTCACTACTATGGGGAAAGCCAGCTGTTTCCACACTACCATTACGACAGCTGTTTCCACACTACCATTGCTAGCTTCTCAGAGAGAATACAACTGGTAATACCGGATAAGAATTATATCAAAGTACAAGTGGTTACAATGAATCTTACCATTCTCTCTCTCTCTCTCTCTCTCTCTCTCTCTCTCTCTCTCTCTCTCTCTCTCTCTCTCTCTCTCTCTCTCTCTCATACATACATACATACATACATACATACATACATACATACATACATACATACATACATACATACATACATACACACTAGTCAGAACAACAGATGGCTTGATCAGTCACAACTAGTGAGTAGTCGATGTCCAGTCTTCTCAGTCCATCCATTGCTGGCTTTCCGCTAGAGAGAGAGCTCAACCAGGGGCTGGGAGCAGATCCACACTGTTGTGAATTCCAGCAGAAATCCAAGAGAGCTCGATACCTGGAAGGTAGAGCCGTGACACACTAGTCAGAACAACAGATGGCTTGATCAGTCACAACTAGTGAGTAGTCGATGTCCAGTCTTCTCAGTCCAGCCATTGCTGGCTTTCCGCTAGAGAGAGAGCTCAACCAGGGGCTGGGAGCAGATCCACACTGTTGTGAATTCCAGCAGAAATCCAAGAGAGCTCGTGGATCTGCTCAGCCCCTGTGGATCTGCTCCCAGCCCTTTGGAGTGAAAAACTTGTCAGCGCCTTCTAGGTTCAGCCTGGTCCCATATCCCAGTGGTTAGAGCATTTGCTCATGTGGCAAGCTTGAAGCAAGATCCCGGGTTCAAGTCCTGGTGGGTCTGGCGAATTATTCTTTCTTTTCACGCAGTTCACTTCCCCGACTGATACTTTGAATTTGAAGTTCTCCTAATCCTTTCAAAATTACTGTAGTAGCTGGCCCTCGGAGACAATTTCACACACTCAAACAAAGCACTCACTTTGTGGTTTCACGAATACTCGTTAGGACAGAATTATTCGTCAGGCGAAATAACACGTCATAGTACATTTGAGATCAGCGGGAAGAAGATGACGACGTCCACTAATTTAGTATCTGTGCACACGAATCTGCTGTGTGTGTGCCTCTGTGTGTCAGCTATGATATCATCTTCTGTGGTTCCATGCCTAGCATGTCCGTCTGAACCATCCTGCAAAGTTTGAATGACGTAGGTTGAGCGATCGCTCCGCGAAACATACTTTTTGAAATTCTCTTCATAGTATATATGTTGTAGTACGTTATTTTGTGTACGTCGTGTGTACGTCATGTTGGTGCATGCGCGTGTTGCTGTGGTATGAAAAGCAGTCTTCGTCTCGAGTTCATGATGTCTTCGTCTTGAGTTTATCATGTCTTCGTCTTGAGTTCGTCATGTATAGTTGTGGTTCCGTCGTCTTGTCACAAATATAGTCTTCTAAATGTAGTTATCGTCGTCCCTTTGTACAAGTGTGGAGATGGCACGGGACTGGGAGCAGGCAGAGAAAGCGAGTTACAACATTGGTGGCAGCGGTAATGGAAATTTGTAAATCTCAACTTCTGGATTCGTCCTGCGTGGCCTTCGCTCCCAGTTTCCGATGTCATCTCCAGTCGTCCTATCGTCACAGTTTTGTCCGTCTTGAAGAAGTTCGTCCATCGTCCTCGTCCTTCATCATTCGTCTCTCCCGTCTCTTGTCAGTCGTCGTCACTGGTGGTCCCGGACACGACGTAAAACTGTGCCCAGAAGAAAAACTGAAACAGAAAAAAAAAGAAAGATGGAAGGTGAAGGCTGCAGTGTGAGGATGTGGACGCTGAGCAGCGCTCCTTGAGATGGCGGATGACATGGCAGACGGCGTGAGGAGTTTCGTTGGTGAGAGGGTACGTGTGTTGTTGTGAACGTGATGAGTATGTGAGTTGTGTATTTTCTGTTCTCCCAACATTTTGTTCTTTATTATTTGCTCTCCTCGAGGGTAAAGAGGCGCCCGCACAGCGCGTGTGTTCTGTTTGTTTTTTGATTTGCTCTTCTATGAGGATAACTAGAGGCCCCCACAGAGCCAGTGGATTCTGTTCTTTTTGTTATTCTTATGATTTGTGCTCTCACAATTTTAGAATTTTTGCGTGATCGTGAGGTGGTGTGTTGAGTGAAGCATAAGTTAGAGTTTTGAGGTTATCAGTTCCCACACATGTGACAGCGATCGTGGCTGGTGTTCTGGGTGGGCGGACAGAGTTTTTAATAATCTGCAGTGCAGGCAGAGGTGTTTTATTTATGGGTGTGACTGGTGTGGTATGATTGAGTGATTTGTGTGATCTTTTCCTCTTTTTTACTCTGTTTTATTATTAGAATCGAGGACGATTCTACTCTTGGGAGGGAGTTATGTTGTAGTACGTTATTTTGTGTACGTCGTGTGTACGTCATGTTGGTGCATGCGCGTGTTGCTGTGGTATGAAAAGCAGTCTTCGTCTCGAGTTCATGATGTTTCGTCTTGAGTTTATCATGTCTTCGTCTTGAGTTCGTCATGTATAGTTGTGGTTCCGTCGTCTTGTCACAAATATAGTCTTCTAAATGTAGTTATCGTCGTCCCTTTGTACAAGTGTGGAGATGGCACGGGACTGGGAGCAGGCAGAGAAAGCGAGTTACAACATATCTTCCACCATTGAAATTTCGAATTTCTTCAAAAAAAGTGCTGAGAGGGGTGGCTTGCAACCTCGATATGGCTTGTTCCAGGCATGCTTTGGAGCCATCTTCTGTTGAATTAGTGGCGGGGATCTACCCTGCAACTGCTACAACAAAAAATGATTGGATCTGAGAAAGCGTGAGACCGCGAATCTTGGTTGAATATTGAGTATTTCAAGCCTTTTCACGACGAAGATGGAGTTCTTTTTGGAGATGGACGTCGCGGCAAAGGACATGGTGTCTGACTTCTGGCGTCTGGTGAAGCCAGGGATCATTTGTCCAGTCAGGTCGGCAGCCTAACCGTCGGTAAGCTTGTGTTTGGATCCCGTTCTGCTCGATGTGGTAGATCACAAACAATTTGATATCGCACACATTGATCTCAGCATCGTGCGTACGGTATTTTATATTCAGAACATCCCAAAGTGTCTCTGTGTGGCCGTCTTATGCCACGAGAAACTCCAATCAGGCTCCTATGTCCTCTGCCTTCATGATTGAATGTCCACTTCGTTTGAACAACGAACACAACAATCGAGCTAGGACGGCTTTGCAATGAAAAATACAGCTATAGTGGAGCTGAAAAAAGAAAGAAAAAAACGTGCTCAGGATGAGACTCGATTACACGCATACTCTCCCAGCAGGTGAAACGCAAATTTTTGTGAAAAATGCGTGACGCCGACTGACCAGTAATTTCGCCTGACGTAGTTACACACTCGGCAAGTAAAGATAAGAAGTGAAAAAGAGCACAAGAAAAGAACAATGCAAGAAGACAAAACACACGGCGAACGGCAGCCATGTTCTTTAGGTCATCAACCAATCAGTAATCTATATAAACCGGTCGCCGACGAAATTCTAGAATATTCCAGAGCTGTGAACTGTGATTGGTTAATTATGCTAATGTTCTAGAACAATAACACTAGCAGCAGTCATACGGGTAAATACGGGTTTAGCCATACACGACTCATACATTACTCACGAGCGACTCACGGAAAGGGTAATAACATGCAGATACAAAATACGCAAGGAGAGAAAAAATGTAACTAACTGCCCATCTTGGGGTTTGAACCAAGGAATCTGTATCAACACAAGCTCTACAAATAAATACTCTTTTACTGCGAAAAATATACTTTCTATTAAAATGCAACTCCTACATTACGGTAAAATCCCGCCAGAGCGCCCCTACCTCCTCGACGCTTCAGGTGGGGAGGGGCGGATAGGCGAATCCTACTTGCCGCATTCAGTGCTACATGAAAAAGTACTCACCCTACGAAAACTGTTCGTGCATCTGGTACACCGACCAAAGGTCAAGAGCCACGAGTCGTACAGACCCGTCAAAACTCAGGGTTTGTGCGATCTCTGGTCAAGAGGGTGGCCACTGTTGCGTACACTTCCAACGGGGTCGACCACGCGTCTGCAGTACGGCTCGTACAGTACGGCATCACAGACTGCGACCGAAATTCGAGAAATCACGTCCCTGACAAGAAGTCAGGGAGGGCGGATAGGAGAGACGGGGCGCTCTGGCGGTATTTTACGGTATTAGTAGTAGTAGTATTGTAAAAACGAAGGTAAGTATTAGGCCGCAATTATCCACGCAAACATACACTATTCTAAATCTGGTTTAGTTGGTGGACTCGATCGCATAACTTGTGCCCACAATTTCCATGTTACACATTTTTTCCTTGGCTCACCATCTGAGTTCATCTTCTTCTTATTATTATTATTAACGCAATTAATAGTGCAAGGTGCACACCCGCAATAACCCGCAATAACATGCCGTGTGTCCCCTATAAAGCAGCCAGCCCGCAATAACATGCCGTGTGCCCCCTATAAAGCAGCCAGCCCGCAGTAACATGCCATGTGTCCCCTATAAAGCAGCCAGCCCGCAATAACATGCCGTGTGTCCCCTATAAAGCAGCCAGCCCACAATAACATGCCGTGTGTCCCCTATAAAGCAGCCGGCCCGCAATAACATGCCGTGTGTCCCCTATAAAGCAGCCAGCCCGCAATAACATGCCGTGTGTCCCCTATAAAGCAGCCGGCCCGCAATAATATGCCGTGTGTCCCCTATAAAGCAGCCGGCCCGCAATAACATGCCGTGTGTCCCCTATAAAGCAGCCAGCCCGCAATAACAGTACACACAGCGTCTTACCTTTTCCAAAGCAGAACCATGGTTTGTGATTGAATTTCTCAGCTGCCGTGCAGTAGTGAAATAGTTCCATGTACCTTTTTGCTTTCAAATAGCTGGGGTTGGTCTTGCCGATTGGAAGAAGACTAAGGTCATAGTATTTCTCATTATCAGAAATACGATTCAATTTTGCAGCCTCCCTGAATACATCACTCAAAGAGCCAGGATTGCTGGCAATCACGGTATTCACGAGCAATATCAAGGAAAGAGAGCTCAAGAGAGAATGCATCTGCAGACAACGTACACATGTAGCATAGAGGGCACAAATACAAGCAATACAACAATCCATACACCATTTTGCAATCACTCGTGTGAGAGAGAGAGAGAGAGAGAGAGAGCCGGAGAGAGAGAGAGGGAGAGAGCCGGAGAGAGAGAGAGAGAGAGAGAGAGCCGGAGAGAGAGAGAGAGAGAGAGAGAGAGCCGGAGAGAGAGAGAGAGAGAGAGATAGACGGAGAGAGATAGACGGAGAGAGAGAGAGAGAGAGACGGAGAGAGAGAGTGAGAGAGACGGAGAGACGGAGAGAGAGTACAGACGGAGAGACAGAGAGAGAGAGTACAGACCGACAGACAGACACAGACAGCCAGACAGACAGCCAGGCAGCCAGCCAGGCAGCCAGCCAGACAGACAGAAAGACAGCCAGAGAAAGACAGACAGACAGACAGACAGTTTGATTTTCATCGAAACCTGCGCTCTCTCTGTGGGCATAAGTACAACAAAATACATGAGTATCCCCATACCAATGTGTCCATGCATGCTAGAGATCAACATGGAAAAGAGAAAACAATACTTCTGCTACTATGATTCATTAGTTGACTTCTTTTGTAAAAAGATTTTTTCATTGCCAAAT